ATATATACACATATGTCTCTGAATAATGATACCTCCACTATTGCCAACAATATGATTACTGAAAATAATTTGAAATTTTATTTTACTTTTGGTACATCTTTTGTCAAGCATTTCACTAGCTATTTGGTTATATAGTGAAATAGCTGTTTTTAAAAATCATTTGAATTATCCTCTCTATGTAGTTCTGCCATCAATTAGATACACATGTAGGTCCATTTGTTTCATATTATTTTTTACTAGAGGCCCTGTGCACGAAATTTGTGCACTTGAGGGGAGTCTCTCAGCCCAGATTGCAAGAAGGCACAGGCCAGGCCGAGGGACCCCACCGGTGCATGTTCGGGGCCAGGGAGGGATGCGGGACCGAGGGAGGGCTCCAGGGCGTGTTCAACATGTCTCACTCAGTCCCGATAGGCTGGACCCCAGCAGCAAGCTAACCTACTGGTCAGAGCGTCTGCCCTCTAGTGGTCAATGCACGTCATAGCGAGTGGTCGACCGGTTGACTCTCTGCCCTCTGGTGGTCCATGCATGTCATAGTGAGTGACTGAGTGGTCTTAGCATATCATTAGCATATTATGCTTTGTTTGAATGGACAACCAGACGACCGGACACTTAGCATATTAGGCTTTTATTATATAGGATTTTGGGGGGATTTTATTAAAAAGTTATTTTGCTTTATCCTTAAATAAAATATTCACATTCTTCCAAAGTCAAATCTATAGAACAAGATTTATGCCAAGAATTCTAACTCCACCCTATTTCCTCTTCCCTAGATACAACTACTCTAAAAATGTTGTGGTCTATCTTTTTCATGTGTCTGTCCCCTTTCTTAGTAAGAAGTAGTATACAATGCACAGTTATTTCTATTTGGCTCATTTTCACTAAAAACCATAACCTAAAGATGACTTTTCTATATAGATACTCTTCCTTCCTTTTTACAGCTGCAAAGCATCTGATTGTGTGGACATACTAAGCCATGGTTCTCAAAGTATGGCACCTGGACCAGCAACATCACAAGCCATCACCTGGAAACTTGGTAAAAATACACATTCTTGGGTTCTACCCCAGACCTACTAAATCAGAAAGTGTGTGTGTTAATAGGGCCTCCAGGTGGTTCTGTTACATGTAAAGTTTGAGAATCACTGGACCATCGTTTATTCAATCAATCCCCTTTGATGGACAACAGGGCTGCTTTCAGTATTTTTCTATTTCACAATGAATTCCTTGTACATGTTTATTCATAATGTTGCTAGTTTTATCTTTTTTAAAATATTTTTTATAGATTTCAGAGTGGAAGGGAGAGGGAGAGGGAGATAGAAACATCAATGATGGCCCTGACTGGTTTGGCTCAGTGGATAGAGCGTCGGCCTGCGGACTGAAGGGTCCCAGGTTCGATTCCAGTCAAGGGCACCAAAAAAAAAAAGAAAGAAAGAAAGAAAGAAAGAAACATCAATGATGAAAGAGAATCATTGATCAGCTGCCTCCTACATGCCTCACACTGGGGATAGAGCCCACAACGCTGGGCATGTGCCCTGACTGGGAATCAAATCGTGACCTCCTAGTTCACAGGTCGACACTCAACCACTGAGCAATGCCAGCTGGGCAGCTAGTGTTATCTTTGGGATAGGTTCCGAGATGTGGGATTCTTGGGAAAATTACAGACTCATATATGACTTTGCTAGATATTGCCACATATGAGTGTTCTTTCCTTAGGCCTTTCCAAAAGACTGCCTTTTCGGATTGTAGGATATATAAGAAATGATATTTCGCCCTAACCGGTTTGGCTCAGTGGATAGAGCGTTGGCCTGCGGACTGAAGGGTCCCAGGTTCGATTCTGGTCAAGGGCATGTACCTTGGTTGTGGGCACATCCTCAGTAGGGAGTGTGCAGGAGGCAGCTGATCGATGTTTCTCTCTCATCAATGTTTCTAACTCTCTATCCCTCTCCCTTCCTCTCTGTAAAAAAATCAATAAAATATGTTTAAAAAAAAGAAATGATATTTCAGGGAAGTTTTCATTTGCATTTTTCTTATGGTTGGAAACCATCTGCGTTTTTCTCTGGGGCTAAAGGAGCTTTTGTTCTGTATTTTTAGAAGTTCCTTTGTGTATTTGGACCATTAAATATTTTTCTGTGGTCCTATTAAATATGTATGCTGCAACAATTTTCTCCCAGTGTGTCATTTTATTTGCTAATAGTGTCTCTTTACAAGCAAAAGGCTTTTCTTGTTATGTAATTAAATTTTCCTTAACGCATGGCCCAATCCATTGAGCCTGGTTCCTTTTCAGTTTTAGCCCATTTTAAATGTCTCTGAAAGTCTTGCAGGGAGAGAGATGAATTTTTTCAAGGTTAACCCCTTAAATGAGGGAACTTAGCCATGAAAATCTCAGGAAAAATAAATCAACACCGCTGGACTCCGTGTAGATGCTCAATATTCTCTGTAACTTCTTCATGATTGCTGACAGGTGTTCAGTGGTATTGGCTGGGAAAGGTTCAAGCTGGGCACATTACATTCTCTCTAGGCTCTGCTCTGGTTCTCTTCTTGGCTTCTGAACAAGTTGGTGCATTAATGCAGTTTTTATAAAGCATTGATGCTCCATACTGTGCTTTTTTTGTAAAGCAATTCATGTAATGAAAATAGAAAGATCCCTGACATTTTGGAAGTCTCTGGAAATGGGAACAGCGGGTTATACATATCCACTCCCCTGGGGTGAGCTAATTAAGAGAATTCAGTGAAAATATTCTGTCTCGGTCCACAGGTGCGCAGCAATCATGGCACGACTGGTAGGGACCCATTGCTCTTTTGTGACAATCCCATGAGGAGGTTCACAATGTAGAGGCTGCGGGTTCCTTTTATAGAGACTCTGTGCATGAACTGAAGAGAGGAAGATACTTTATTCTGGAGGTCAATTTCCTGTTTGGGAGGCAGTTTTAGAAATATGGATGCCTACAAACTCTTGACATCAACATTAATAATATTTTATATTTGTTTTATGCTTTTAATGTTTGTATATTATTTTCACATAAATGGTCTTATTTGTGCCTCATGATAATTGCAAGAGACAGGTGGGACTTGGTGGTTTTTCACCAATTCCATTGTGGTGGGTTTTTCCCCTCCACATCACCAAGCAATTCTTGGACGTCAGCTGTGTGACCTGTCAGTTAAGTCAATTCTGACACTGTCTCAGAGATAGCATGGATTCCACAGGTTAAGGGCTCAGTCCCACAAGACTGGCCTCCATTTCAGATGTCAATTGGAAGTCCAGATTGTTACCTGTGCTCTTCTGACCAACTGGTTATAAATAAGAGAGTTCCATGACCCTCTCCTTGGGTTCAATTAATTTGAGAGAGAGAGAGAGAGAGAGAGAGAGAGAGAGAGAGAGAGAGAAGAAGGGCTTAAAAATGGGCTAAGGCTGGGGATATGGAGATAAGAGAGCATAATAAGAAGGTAGAGCCTGGAGAAGCAAGGAAACTTACAGTGAAAAATGCACAAAATTAATTTCTGTAAAGGTCTGCAATCCTGGATCTCAATCTTTTTTTTAATACTCACCTGGGGATATGCTTAGAGAGTGGAAGGAGAGGGGAAGGGAAGAGAGAGAGAGAGAGTTGTATCGCTGCTTTCTGCACACCCCCTATTGAGGGATTGAACCTGAAACCTAGGTATGTGCCCTGACCAGTAATGAAATCTACAACCTTTTGGTGTGCAGGACGACACTCTAACCACTTAGCAACACCAGCCAGGGCTGGACCTCAATTCTTAATATGGACTGTGGCCAGGGAAATAATAAACATTTATAGGATATTTTAGTTCCTTGATCGAAAGATTATCTGAATACAAAGCATTATGTATCCATATTTTGTATAAACACAAGCATAACACATTTGATGAAAACACTGACTAAAATCAATGTGAAGAAATCTACATGAAGAAAATAGCCTTTTGGTTAACACTCCGTTTAAGGGTTAAACATTGGCTATTTTGCTCAAAGTTTCACACAAGCTGAACATACTTCACATCATGAGAGATGTTATACTATGCGATCCAAGGCATCTGCTTAATTATATCTTAGACTAGAGGCCTGGTGCATGAAATTCGTGCACAGGGGGCAGTGGGAGGTTCCCTCAGCCCAGCCTGCATCCTCTCCAATCTGGGACCCCTCGGAGGATGTCTGGCTGGGCCTAAACCGGCAGTTGGACATCCCACTCGCAATCTGGGACCGCTGGCTCCTAACTGTTCACCTGCCTGCCTATCTGATCGCTCCCAACTGCTCTCCCCTGATTGCCCTTAACTACCTCTGCCTCAGCCCCCACCACCATGGCTTTGTCTGGAAGGAAGTCAGACATCCAGAAGATGGCTGGTCGACCCAGTCTAATGAGCATATTACCCTTTTATTTGTAAAGATAGATTATATAGGATAGGATTGCTTAAATGGAGGGGGAAAGCCTTTTTCATCAGGAGGAGATGCTCTTGGCAGACAAAAATACATAATCCCTATATCTGGACTGATAGCCATATGCACTGTACTGCCAAACCGGTTATTAAAAAATTGAACCGCTTTCTTACACCTTACACCAAACAGCTGTTGCCCTTAGAACCCCTCCTCAGCCCCCACCTTAGGTTCTGCCTTCGCAGTTCACCCAGATTAGATTCTGATTGGTCAGTTTCTATGCCAGTCAGCTTCAAAAGCTCCACCTCGTAGGCAGCCATTGGCTCCTCGCAGTTCACCCAGATTTGGTTCTGATTGGCCGGTTTCTATGCCAGTCAGCGTCTCCAGGCCTATCTTTGGCCTATCTCCGGGCCTGATCTGCAGCCTCCGTGGCAGCTGCGGATCAGGCTTTGCCTCTCTCTCTCTCCGGGCCTCGCCAGCATCCATGGCCTCATCCACAGCTGCCGCGCCTGCCTCGCCCCACCCACCCCCCCCACTGCCCCGCCTGCCGGCTGCCAGCCTTGCTGTGATAGGATCCTGTGGGCCACAGGAGAGGGACCAAGCCCCGCCTGCCTGCCGGCAGCCAGCCTTGCTGTAATAGGAGCCTGTGGGCCGTGGGGGAGGGACCAAGAGGTGCTCCATGCGCTTCCTGGTGACCGGTCGTCCATTTGGTCGTTTAGGTCATGACAGCCCCCAGCCCCTAGATTCCTCATCATAATTTGGGCTGAAAGATTTTTACATGCTCAGCTCTGCAGAATTAAAAGTGAGTGCAAGTTTATTAGCTAATTTTCAGGGTGAGATAAAGTATTTGTGATACACAAAGTTAATAACAAACAGTAAAGGGAAAACAAGGCAGTATTAACAGCAATGTCATTTGTTGATAATATGAATATTTGCTTGATCTGACTGCTTTGTTCATTCATTTATTTATTCCACAATTCAAAGCGTGGCCCCACATTCTCAGGCACTCGTTGCTCATAACCTGAGCACCTGCCAGCACCTCGTATCTTCTTCAACATGCCTGATGGTGAAACCCTTTTCCGATGTCTCTATTTATGCTACTGCATCCGCCTTCTCCCAGACACCCAGGCTTGAGATCTCAATGTTTTATTCAACTTCTCTCTTGTCCTCATTCAGTCAGTTTCTAAAGGCACTTAATTTCCTCATCCTTTTTATTTCACACCATAGCTTATAATCAACCAATTTTTTAAAATGCAAACATTCAGTTTTAAGTGAAATATAGGCTATTTGGAAAATAGTAGGTAACTTATTATTGATAAAAATCACTACTAGAGCCATAGCTTTAAAGCAATGTAATCTAGCAAATTTGAGATGCAGAATGAAGCCCAGAACCTATATCTAATTCTGAATGCACCAAGAACATCAAATTCCAACCTAGGGCTGAATATCAAAGGAGAAATTTAAAGTGCTATAATTTTTGATTCATCTGTTAAAGGGGAATTTATCTAAATTCTGAACTATGGTTTGATAAGTAGGCTATTTAAATAATACCTAAATCTATCCACTGTGTGTGTAGTGTGAGGGTTCTATCAGCAAAGACATGATGATCCTTTTGTCTTTTTACACTGCAATTTAAATTTTATTCTTTAATT